ACCATCGATCCAAATGTCTTTTCTTTTCTTTTTCTGGGTTTAGTTTGTTTGTTGTTGAATAACATGAGAGAGAACGAGAGAACAAAGGGAAGAGAGAGAGACAAGTTCAGTCTCTTTTGTTTAGAAGTTCAACTAAACTCTCAATTTTTAATTAATTTTCATTAATATCACTAATCTGGCAGTGACACTTGTCACCACCCTTGTGGCTGTTTTCCGATTCTGTGCAGGTATCGCACCATAACCGCCATGGTCTCTCAATCATCACCATCAGATCTCTACATATCCAGATCAAGCGCTCCAGATTTGATTTCTACGATAGACTCTTGTTGGAGCAATGCACAGGATCAGGTGGACCTCCTTATTCTGGGCCTAGCGAAATTCTTCTTGCACCCCCCCCATTTCTGCTTATTAAGGCGCAATTGCACTTTTTCTTTATATTTTTCTTTTTGTATTATTTAGTTTAAATTTCTTATTTCTATCAAAAATTAAAATACAAAAAACATTTTATTTTAAATAATTAATTAGATTGGAAAATAATATTTAATATAATTAATTATTTTGTTAATTAATTTTATTAAATAAAATGGTTCATTTTAATTGGTTATTTAATTAATTTCGATTGAGTTGTATTGTTTGTTTATTTAGACTTTTAATCATATTATCGATTTGTTACATCCCCTCACCTGGGTGTTATTTTTAGACAAATTCCTTAACCTCATTGGATCTTGGGTGTTGATAGGTTGAAAAACCAAATCTGTCAAAATGGATGAATGATGTTGATGATATTCGAAACCCTAATTTCATCTAATACTTCCCCTCCCTCTTCATCTTATCCATTTTTTACTTGTGCTACATGTTGTTGGAGAATGATCAACATATCATTTCTCTAATATGTGGTACATAGATTGCTATTGACCGACCTCAAAATAGGTGTGACTTGTACATAAGTCCACTTACGATTTCTTAACATAGCGTTAAATTTGTACCGATTCGAGAAATGATCATTTGTGGCCCAAACCTATATTTCCAAGCCCAAGTATGTTTAATTTGAAACCTTTAATCCAATAACCTTGAGATTCATTGTTAGGAGGCTTTGATCTTATCAATCCTCTAATGGACCTTCACAAACTTTGGTCTAAGTGAATTGTTTGAACATCGTTGATCATATGAGGCCGTCTTGACCATTTAAAATGAATGATATAATTGACAAAAAAGAAAATGGCACTTGTTGTTGATAAGCTTTGATTTTATCAATCTTCTGATGAGTTTTCAAATACAAGTTTCAAAATGGTCATTCAACTAACCTCTAACTTCTAATTCACTAACAATTGACTTTTACTTTGTGCTTTTACTTTGTGCTTTTACCTTATGTCTCTTTTATGCACCCTTTATTTTAGCATTTACATTTTTATGCTTTCTTCATCTTTGCTCCCTTGAGCTTTCATTTTCTTTTTGAATACACTTAATAACCAACTTGAACATAAAAAAAAAATTTAAGGCTACTTGGACTATTTGGTTACTATCCTTGGCATAATGGAGTTGTGGACCTCTCAGACTTATGATTAGAAACCCTGATTAACCTTGGAACCTTTTGATTCTGTTGTTATTTTGTCTATAATTCTTGGGGTTTAGCCCAAGACATTGGGTTGATTTTCTTTGTGTGCAAGTTATTCTGATTATGTGCTTTGTCTGTGATTGAGAACTCTTCTGTATACAGTTGTCACTCTGCCTATTTTTTGTGAAGACTTAATGAATCTGAAGCTTTGTATTCATAAGAAGTTTATTATCTTTGCCTATTTGGTTTCAATCCAAAGGATGAGAATTTTACATTGACTTCTTTATGTCAAGTGTTGGCTTCTTATTGGTCAAGTCGTTCTTTTCCTTAGCTCCTACCTTATACTTTAGGATAGTTCCTTCACCTCCTCCTATCTTCTTTAATTTCAAAATCTTCTCCCTCCTTTTCAAAACTCTTATTGTTTTCTAACTTGAACCGCTTTCATAATAAACTTGGACTTAGGTCCATGTATTTTCAAAAAATCTTTTCTTAAATAAAACACTAATCAATTTAATCATACTTTGACATTTTGTGTGAGAAGACTAAAAGTCAATCAACCTCATTCAAACCATTTTTTGCCACTTTGGATTTTTACTTTAAAACTCTTTTCTCAAAAAATTAGACTCTTGTCGATTCTTGTAGTGATGCGAGCTACTATACTTCTATGATATATAGTGAAGTAAGATATTTTTCCACTTGGGTGTTGAGTGAGGCTTTTTCGATTTTAAAATCCAAGCCATATCCTCGACTTTGAGATGATGCAAATTCTCATTTCTCGTGATCGTGGGTAGTAAGTATGTTTTGCACTCGAATACGATGATTATGTCTCTTCTCCTAAAATTAACCAACACACACGTGTTTTAAAATTTTTAAAGGTAAACTACGAGTACCCTGATCCCCTATTACATGGTAGGTGGTACATAGGCACTAAAGATTCGCAACCGCGGCGGGTGAAAAATTATAAAAAATAATTCTTTTCCCATCTCTACCATCTATTTTTGTATACAACATTTATAGCTAAAATACAGAAATTTTCAAAGAGGTTCATGCGGAGTACCGTAGATGTTTAGGGTACTAATACCTTCCCTTTGTATAACCAACCCTCGTACCTAGATTCCCTCTGCCTCTCTTTTAGGTTTATTCTCCATTTTTCCATTACTTTGGAAACAATAAAGCGTGGTGGTGATTTGTTATTTGATCTGTGCGAGTCAAGTCAATCCAATGACTTAGTCTCAATATTTCTATCGCTACACATGGCTTTCAGAAATGTGAGATGGAATATGGAGTTTATGTGCAATATTTTGGAGGCAATATGATTCTTGTGTGTCTCTATGTTGATGATATATTGCTAATAGGGAGTTGTCTAAAAGATATAGCCAAGTTCAAGGAGATGCTGATGAATGAGTTTGAGATGACTGATATGAGAAATATGATATATTTTCTAGGGATGGGTATCATTTTGCACCAGCTAAAGTATGAACTTGAGCTTCTGAAGAGATTTAAGCTGCATAATTGTAAGGTTGTTGTCACACATTCAGAAAACCATAAATTGGATTCTAATTATGAGGGTGAGGATGTGGATACTACAACCTTCAAACAAATGGTTGGTTCTCTGAGGTATCTGTGTAATACTAGACTTGATATTTGCTATGCAGTTGGAATGGTTAGTAGGTTCATGAGTAAACTTAAGTGGTCCCTTTACCAAGTTGCTGTCAAGATTTTGAGGTATAACAAGAGAACTGAAATATGAAGTATTATTCCATTCTAGAAGAAAAACTAATTCAGAGCTGATGAGTTACTCAGACTCTGATTGGTGTGGTGATAGAGTTGACAGGAGAAGTACTTCTGGATACTTGTTTAAGTTTCTAGGAGATCCTATTTCTTGGTGTTCCAAGAAGAAATATGTTGTTGCACTGTCAATGTGTAAAGTCGAGTATATTGCAGGTGTTGTAGCTGTATGTCAAGCTATCTGACTTCTGAATCTACTGCAGGATCTGAAGATCAAGGTAGACAAGCCGCTGAAGCTGATGATTGATAATAAGTTTGCAATCAATCTTGCCAAAAACTCAGTGCTGCATGGGATAAGCAAGCATATTGAGACAAAGTTTCATTTTCTGAGAAGTCAAATTCAAAATGGAGTATTAGAAGTTGTGCACTATATCACTCAAAAGTAGTTGACAAATATTCTAACAAATGCGATCAAGACTGGTCAATTTCTCCATTTATGAGATGAAATTGGTGTTGTTAGTTTTAGTTAGGAAATCCTAAATTAAGAGATGGTATTGAAGGGTAATTTAGTATTTTAATATGTTGCTTATGTAACCCTAGTATGTGTGTAGCCGTCATTGTAGAGTAATAAATATATTCCCTCAATCTTCTTGTTTTTCATCACCTTATGTACTAACATTGACCATCAAATAAAGCTCTTTGCCAATTTTCTTCTTCTCTTAGAAACCTTTCATCCGGGCAATATGCATTGTGTTGTTGTACTAAATTTGAACATGCATGATATTGTCACATTATCTTCCATTAAATCCATTTAACCGTGTGAATATGGTGAGTGAGGTAAATAAAGTGATATTTGTTAATGGAGTTAAATGAGTGTAAACTATTAACGTAGAATTTAATTCATAACAATAATATTTATTTATAGGAGAAAACTTAGATATGATGTCATATGCGTGATTCTTATTATTTTCTAATAAAAATATGATAAGTATATAATTTCTTTTATACATATGTAATTTTCTCTTATTTTCATTCTTTAAAAAATATTTAAACACATTTATTATATTTTTATTAAAAAATAATAAGAAACACACCTACGAAATTGTATGTAAATTTTCTCCTTATTTATATTTATGTATCAGTGTAAAAAATTGTTTATATATATGAATAATATTGTTTTTTATAAAAAAAGAACTTAATTATAGAGAGAATTACAAATTATGAGGAAATTATTTCCTCATACCGTAAAACTTGTTGAAAAAGTAGAATGACTAAAAATAAAATGTTAAATACTTATAAAGCCCAAAAATGTATTTACTTGTAAGAAATTGTGTATGTGAATATATTTAATCCTATTTTTTAATTGAAAGGTGGGCATTTCATTCCTTAAAATATTTAAAATGATTGTTTTCAAAAAGTATAATTACAAGTCCTTAATGCACAAGTTTGGTTGATAGTAAAAAGTAAAAAATGAAATAGAGTGAATGTGATTAAAAATAAGTAGAAAAGGATGGTTGTTTGGTAATGGAACAGAAACTTGACATGAGGTAAAACAAACAGCACTTATGTTTTTGAAGCACATGTTATGTTACCCTTTTGCTTTAACTCTTGAATCATATAATTCACATTTATATACCATGACTTTCTTTTAAGAGTTTCTTGTGGGGACACACTTCACAATTCACAATTTCATCTCTCAAGAAAACAAGAATCATAGATGGAGATGAACCAGAAGAGGAATGGAGGTGAGGTTCTTGATGGGTCCAACATTATGGAGTTGGTTGGAAATGAGCAAGGATTCAGTAAGTATGTGGACAGGAAGTTTCATCAACTGGATAAGGACAGAGATGGGAAGCTTTCTTTGAAGGAACTCGAGCCGGCTGTCGCCGATATCGGAGCGGCTCTTGGTTTGCCTGCTCAGGGAACTACTCCTGACTCTGATCACATCTATTATCAGGTTTCGTTTTTCTCTTTTAATTACTATTTTTTCTTACTTCTTTCTTTTTGGTGTTACGTAATGTCTCTGCGTCTGCGTCTGTGTCTGTGTCTGTCTCATCGGCTTTCTATCAAGATTCATGTAAGCTGTGTGTTGCACTGTTGCTCTTGATTTTTGTTTTGGCAGTAGAATTATAAAAAGTGCTTAATTGCTTGAAGGGGAATTCTGAACTTGGGGGATAAAAAAGCTTAAAAAATGATAACATGGTTTTTCAAATTATTTTTGGTTGCAAATTTGCAATTACCTTGCCATGCTCAATTTAGCTTTTCATTGCCATTTTCTGTCAAACTCCTTCGAGGCGGAATCTGGTGAAGTATACTGTAATTACAATCTTTGCGTCCGTTATGAGACTAATCCTCAAATCGGCCGAAGAAAATCTACTTTTTTTCTTGGGGTTGGGCTGCCTACGACACGGGTGAAGACGTATATGTTTAAGCCTATGTTTGTATTAGCTGTAAAATAGCATTAAACGTGTGTCCGTCTTGAAGCGACTATTTCTATCTTCGGTTTGTTCACAGTTGGACTAGTTTGGAACGCGCAAGAAACTTGTTGGACGCAAATCCAAACATATCCTAAGTTGATGGTTCATGCCCTTTAAGGCTTGTTTAGATGAGTTTATTTGAGTTTATCTATTTGTCATAAGTTTTGTGATATACTGCTTAGGAGATTTAATCAAAACAGATTATGATATTTTTCATAAAATCTTTTGAGCTTATTTTTATAAATTCTGTAACGTAGCTAATGAACATAATTGATAACATATATAAAACAACTTAAATTTATTTTATCTTTTGTTATAAAAATACTTCATGCCAGCTATTCATAAACGCTTATTTTGATAAGCACTTGTGATATAAGCTGTTTATCCAAACAAGGCCTAAGTCTTTGAAGTTGAAAAGTATAGTTTAGAGTAGAGTTATAATCTAACTAGAGTGATATAAAGTTGGTCTGGTATGATAGTTAATGATGAACTTTAGGAACCGAAATTACTAGTGGTAACTGCTATCTAAAGTTAGTGCTTGTGTGAAAAAGCAAAGGTGATCTTTAAATGGAATCCTTTGAGAAAAAGCTATTTTCTTACCTAAAAATGGGCAAACAAGAAGAAAAGACACCTTAGTCACAGGAAGAAGAAAATAGAGGCAATATGATTATGTATCAATAATGTACTAAATGGACCCAAAATTTCCTGTCATCATGATTCATGAACCTATGCAATCATACAATCACAAAGTCAGGACCATTTCATCAAAACTAGGACAACTCGGATTTTGAGTTCACCGCATTTGAAATATGAACAGTATAATCTTAATCAAAATAATCTGAGTTGATTTTGTTGTATAGGTGTTGAATGAATTCACTCATGGCAAGCAAGAAAAAGTGAGCAAGAGTGAGTTCAAGGAAGTTCTCTCAGACATTCTATTAGGCATGGCTGCTGGACTGAAGCGAGATCCAATCGTTATACTACGTATGGACGGGAAAGATCTCTCCGAGTTTCTTAATGGTCCGGGCTATGATGCAGAAATGACATCCATATTCTCTCAGATTGGAAACTCGAGTACATCACTTCGCGAACATGTTATTGAAGCTTTTGGAAGACTCGATGTTGATCGAGGAATTCCGCCTACGTCAGATTCTTGGGTAATACTAATACACTAATGCAATGCAACTATTCTTGTCCTGCTGTTTTCAACTCGAAGAATTAGTCTCTGCAATTATGGACACACGATAATTGGCTTACATGCGCATACAAATATAATTAAAATAAATGCCAATCTTGTTTTCAAGTTTGTTATTGCAAGTTTATCCTATTGTGTTTATTTCGATTTAGGTTTTTAACAACATTTTGGATCCGGCATTGTTGTCTCGAGGATTGGATAGACCTGTTACCGATCAAGCGACTTTTATGGAAGAATTCAAGAAAGTGGCATTCAGTGTGGTTGATTATCTTAAAGAGAAGCCTGTCATTGTAGCCCATAGTGAAAACACCTTTGATGGAAGTGGAGTCAAGAGACTCTTATCGAACAAGTTTCAATTAGACAAGGTTTTTTATTTGTTCCGACACCGAACTCTTAGTTTAAACCAGTTGAGTTATCCAATTTCTATTTATTTGTGGTCTTACCTTCTCTCTTATATGCAGACGATGAACACGACTATAGATAATCTTCCAAAGGACCGAAACGGAAAAATTTCGAAGCACTATTTGCGCGTGGCACTAGACGTGGTGTCTCCGTCTGCTGGTTTACCTCCGGTCGGTGCAATTGAAGAGGTATGTTATTGTTGCCAATATGCATATACTACTAAGTAAATCTAAAAACTCTCCTATGACTCTCAATGTGTTTGATTTTACAGATGGATAAGATTATTAATGAAGCTTTTAAGACGGTGAGTAATGCAGACGACGCAAATATGACGATTAAAGAAGAAGAATTCAAGAAATTTTTAACTGATATACTGGAGAATATCATGTTGCAGTTAGAAGAAAGTCCTATTGCTATTTCTTCAAATTCAGTTGTGCATGAACCTCTAAGCTCATCTTCTACACTTTTGCACCCATCTTAATTCTAGGTCTTGTGAAACAACATATGCGTAACCGGTCAAAGACTAAGTACAACATTTATTTACTTATGCAAATTGTTACGTCCATCATCTGCGCCCCTGCAGTCTGATGTCTCTGCACAACTACCAACTAAGCTGGCTTAATGAGACTACGTCCATCATATTTTATCTATCTTACATTAAGTGTTACATTTGAAATATTTATTTGTTTAGTGTTACTTATATTATCATTTTAAAATATGAATTATTGCTTTTATTATGCATTTTCATTCTTGAGATGTCCTACCTTAAAAAAAAAAAAGTTGGAAACTGAAAAGTGATTTGGCACACTATGTTTTATGAGATGGTAACAGATGGAATCCTTGGATATATAGTGGCTTTGTATAAATCTAGGACATGGATAAGTTTTGGACACAAACAAGGGAACATATGCCCTTGGTAATCTCCACAACTTCTCGGTTGAATTGAAGCATGATAACTGTTATGACACCTTCCCTTTATTAAATTCTAACTTCAACTATTCCATATAAAAATTAGATTATGCATCAATTATAAACTCATTTTCAAATCATAAATCATCTAATTTTATCAGTAACACCTACTGTCTAAGAATTTTTCACATTTCATAAAAGATAAAACCGTAAAAACTTAACCTCAACGGTGTCGTGGCATTATCCGTTTTATAGCTTGTTAGCATGCATTTAGAGTAGAATCTTTTGTATAATATACATACTAACCATAATAATACGAGAATTTGTCCTGTAATGATAAGTAACTGATAATTCCAATGATCCATAGTTTGATCCGAGTAATATAATATTAATACTCCTAATCCTAATTACTGGCAGATAACAGGCTTCTCTATATTATTAGACTTCACTTAACACACACCTTAACTTATTCATAAAATCCATTCTCTGTGTCAAAAAATGGTGCTGATTCTTCATCATGTCAACCCTCTCAAGTTGATTTTGTTACTTTCTACTTTCTACACTTTATCAGGTTTCTGCATCCACTTTCTCTTCTGTTCTTGCTTATTTGACTTTTATTTTTCTTTTTTCATTTGTTAATCCTCACTTGTATGCAGATTGCTATGACCCTTTGGATCCAAATGGAAACTTTTCTATAACTTTTGACATTAACAATCGTTTGGACACCGGGTATCTGGTTAGTAGTCACGACTCATTACAATCACATGTTTCGTTCTTGACAGATAAAAAATTGATTATGTAAAATTGATTCAGACTAAACGGTAACAATCATATGGATAGTATTGTAATTTTGATCATTTATATTGAAGCGCACAACTATATAGAATCTACTAGATTGAATTTGAGTGTGTTTTTCAATTCTACAGGCAACGGTGACACTTGAAAATTATCATCAATATCGGCATGTAGACAAACCCGGGTGGAAACTAGGATGGACATGGGCTAACAATGAGGTGATATGGTCAATGAGTGGTGCAATTGCAACTAATAGAGGTGATTGTTCATCTTACAGTGGTTCTCAGATTCCACATTCATGCAAGAAAGATCCTATCATAGTTGATATATCTCCCGACGTCACACAAAACAGGTCGGGCCGTTGCTGTCGCGGTGGCCGCCTCTCTGCCCGAGCTATCGACTCTCTCAGTTCATTAACTTCATTTGAACTCGAAGTAAGAAACTTGAACCAAAAAGAAAATTCAATTGGACAAGCACCTAAGAATGTTACATTCATGGCACCCGGTCCTGGTTACACTTGTAGCCCTTTTATGGTTACCGATCCCTCGGTGTCCTTAGATTTAGGAGGAGTAAGACAAGTTCCAGTTATAAGTAAGTTAGTCACGTATGTATATTCTTTTGGTGATTTTTTCCTTTTACGTCACACGGATTCTCAATACTAGTATATATACATTTACACTCCAGGAACTTGGAAGTCAATATGTACATATTCAAGTTTCTTGGCAAACAAGTCACCAGTATGTTGTGTTTCCTTCTCAACGTTTTACAATCCTATCATCACGCCGTGTCGTAATTGCACTTGTGGCGGATGCAGGGAAGCAGATAAAAATACACTCTCTTGTATAAGGTGCGCGTTATTTCATTTGCTCAAACATTCATCCATGCTATTAATTTTGTCGTGTGCTTATTTTCTGCTACTAAATTTTGTAACTAGGCCAAGTGATTCTCTGGGAGGATCGAATGATGAGAAAAACATAATCCAATGCACTGATCACATGTGTCCAATTCGAGTTCATTGGCATTTCAAGAACAATTATATGAATCAATGGAGGGTGAAGCTTACAATTTCGAACTACAATTTCAATATAAACTACTCAAATTGGAACGTCCTTGTTCAACATCCTGGTTTGAGCCAAAAAGCAACAGCTTATAGCTTCAATAGCACTAAACTCCCAACTCTTGTGGCAGATGGAGTTGCACTTTTTTGGGGAATAGATTATTTCAACAATGAATTATTGCATTCTGATAAGGATGGTGTAGGTTCTGTGACATCAGAGATACTATTGGAAAAAGATCAGAGCTCATTCACATTGCAAAATGGATGGACATTTCCAAGAAGAATATATTTCAATGGTGAAAATTGTGACATGCCTTTACCTGACACATTTCCTATGTTACCAAATGGTAGCTACATTTTTAGACCAAATTGTCTTTCTTTTATTTTTTCATTAATTTCTTTGTTGCTTGTTCTATTAGTACTATAGTTGTAAAAGTATAGTACTCTTTTGGTTTTGGTTTTTAACATTTACATTGTTTGTAGTATTTTAATTCCTCAATTAATTAATACAAGATTGAGAATAGTGATTCATTGTATCATTTGGCTTAAGCAAGCAATGAAAGTGAAATATATATATAAAACTAAAACGAAACCCTACTAACTAACTATGTGAAAAATACAGTTACAATTAGTGGAATATAATTTGATACCCTCACTTAAGCTAGAGCATAGTTGTTGGAGATGCTAAGCTTTGATAAGATGAGTGAAAAAGGATTAGGATCAAGTGGTTTGGTGAAAATATCGGCAAACTGAGCCGATGTGGGAATAGGAAGTAACAAGAAAAGTTTGCCAAGATTCTTTTTACGCACAACATGACAATCGATTTCTATATGTTTCGTGCGTTCATGGAATGTGGCGTTTGCAGCAATGTGGTGTGCTGATTGATTATCACAGTAGAGAAGCGCATGTGTGATAAAGTGGACATGAAAGTCTTGCAATAAGTAGGTAAGCCATTGAAGCTCACAAACCGTTGATGCAAGGGCCCGATACTCTGCTTTAGAAAATGATCGGGAGACTATAACTTGCTTATTCGATTTCCATTATATTAGAGAGTCTCAAAAGAAAATGCAGAAGCCAGTTATAGATTTCCTAGTGTCACTGCATGAAGCCGAACAACATTAAGTGTGCTTTCTCAAAAGAGCTTTGGCAGGTTGGATTGGAACACGATGGCCCTAGCAACAATGAGGATATGCACATGCTTTCTCTCTGCAACATCATTTTGCTGATGAGTCTCGATGAAGGTTCTTTGATGGATAATGCCTTTATCTTTGAAATATTCATCCTTGAGGAATTCCTTTCCATTGTCCGATCTGATCATTTTGATAAGCTTGCCAAATTGAGTGTGGACTAAGTTGACGGATTGCATGATCAATGGTCTTGTCTCAAACTTGCTTTTCATGAGAAAGACCCAAGTGTGTCTTGTGAAGTCATCTACAATAGTAAAAAAATAGAGTGACCATTAACAGATGAGGGTCTATAAGGACCCCAAATGTTCATGTGGATTAGCTCAAAAGAAGAATTGGTTGTAGTATTGCTAGGGGGAAGGAAAGTTTAGTTTGCTTGGCATAATGGCAATTAACATGATGAGAAAACCTTTGATGAATTATTTTTAATACATTGTTTGATGGATGTTCAAGTCTATGGAGCCATAGGCTAAACTTAGTTGGAGCACCAGAGTTACATTGATTTGCAATGACATCAGTATTAAATGAAAAAGCTAAAAAGGAATATTGACACAAAATATACAAGTTATTATAAACTTTAGCAGGTCCCAATCATATGAAGGTAGTTCCTTAATGGTACAAGAACAATGATAAAAAAAATGAGATGACAATTGTTATAGGATGATAATTGGCAAGAAGAAATGAGATTGAAATTAAATTGAGGAACATATACAATATTTTTTTTATGGGAAACAAACTTTCAATTAAGAAAAGAGGAAACGGTTAGCTTCAGGATTCCTCAAATTGAATTCCGCCACAGAAGCCACAGCCAGCAGTGAACAAGCTTTTTGTTGGTAAAGCTGCATATTCCTCGCAGTCCAAACCTTGTGAATGAGGGAAGACAGAATTTGTGCGCTCAGAAAGTCCCCACAAACCAACATGCTCCGCAACCAGTTGCAAATATCCATATTTTCAAGAATATGATAGCTAAGGACAGAAGAGGAAAAAACCTGGCGCGCAAAAGCACAATCCATGAAGAGATGAAGAGCGGTTTCAGGGGCAGAATTACACAGAGAACAAGTTTCATCCAGCAGGATACCTTTTTTTCGAAGGTTATCCTTTGTAGGCAGAATGTTCTTGGCCAATCTCCACAAGAATGATCTTAAAACCAGAACTGTTAGGGATCCAATTATCAGACAGGATCCTAACATTGTTTCCATTGCCACTCCTCCAACGTGCCCCTTTGCTTATCAAGTGCCCCTTTGCTTATCAAATCTCTTGTGTTCTACTCTAAAATTTATCCTCTTATTTCTCAATACATTTCTCACATGATCTTCAATAGCTCAAACTTGCACAAGGATTGACTAGGCCAAGACATCTCCTCGATGCTTATACCTCAAAATTAGGGTTTGAGCTTGCACAAGAACAATTTGACTTCTAATACTTTAAATGATTTTCATTGATCATTATGGATCTTCAAAAATTCTCATGTCAAGTTTCAAGTCTTGTATCACAAATTCTGCCCAGTCAATTGACCAGATGACCAAAAATCAGTTGTAGTGATGAAAAGTCAACTGATGCACAAAAAGTTAAACTTTGACTTTTTGATCAAGATTTAATTTCAAAGATCATATTTCATCAAGACATTAAAAAATATGAAGTTTGATCATCAAGAAAGTCAAAAGTCAATTTGAAAAGTCAAACTTTCCAAGACTTAAATTTTTTTTAAGTGTTTTCATACATGATAATTTCATAACTTCATGACATTCTTTCACCAAGGTGCAAGATGATTCAAAAGAAACTTTTAACATGAAAGTTGTAGATCTTGATGAATTCTACAACTTTGTATTAGAGGGTTGATGTCCAAAAAATGCTTAGATTTGAAGATATGAGTCCGTGAAGTCATGATATTGTTATCCAACACTTAGAGAAATTTTCAACAGGTTTTGGTCAGGATTTTATCCTAACTTCTTGGTATTTTTCACATAATTTCAAGATGATTTTGTCAAAATAGCCAACATGAAAGTTATAGAGGATGTTTCAAGATTTCCAAAACATCCAAGAGCATGAATTTATCTTATTTGAGCTAGGAGATTCAAAGGCATTAAGTTGGGCATCCATTCTTGATTTGCAAGTCCTTTGGTTGAAAAATACATAACAAAATCCTTATGATATGCTGCATAATCTTGTGTTGCAGGCCTTTTAACTTGTCAATCTCATCATAATTTAATGCTTACACCTACTCTTGAGCTATTACATAAGTGTTTGAGCCAGTGTCCAAAATATCTTTCTATTTATGGCATAAAGTTACCATTGTTATTCTTGAAAAGAAAGCTTGTTGGTACAAAGTTTGTCTTGAGCTCATACCTTGTTTACTTCTGATTTTACTCCACCATAAATCATGAAAAATAGCTCCTCTATACCAGCAACTTTGGTACTTCATCATGGGACTATGAAGAATTGACATAGTTCGATATTTGCATCCCAACCAAACCATAACATGATGTCTTGGAAACCTAATCAGCTTTTGTTCCCAAACTTCTTGCCTATAAATAGAGGAAGCATTTGCAAAAGAAAAAGGTCAGAAAAATAGAGAGCTTCTCGTGTGTTGAAAATCCTTAAACCCCCCTTTACTCTAAAAACCACAACTGTCCATAAAAACCTCCATCTTTGAGCTTTGAAGTCCAAACCATTGAACCTCTCACACCTTGTAAGTTCTGTCCAAACAAACTATCCAAACACTCCACATACATCATATAGAAGTTGTTCAAACTCAAGAACAACTTCTGTAACATCACTATTTTCCAAACTAAAAAACAGCCACCTGTAATTTGACTTCTCCAACTCAAACTCAAAGCACAAATTTCAGTTTCAAGGTAAGTTTTCTTGACTTTGAGCTCTTCATAAAAAACATCATTAATGGTTCATTTATGAATATAAAATGTAGATATCACTGCCTTGAATCTAACCATATTATTTCTTTTTATTTTCACTAACCATGTGTTGAGAGCTGACTCTTACATGTAGCAGAACAATGATGGAAGTAAAAAAACAGCAGTATGAGTCGATACGAAACACTATGAGTCGACATATATTATGTACACAACAGGTTATGAGTCTATACAAAACGCGTATGTGTCGATACAAAACAGAAATGAATCGATACAAACCATTATGTGTCGACTCATACTGAGTTGTTTTTGACTTCCATGGGCAAGAAATGAGTATGAGTCGATACAAAAAGCACATGTGTCGATACAAAGCAGTCTAAGTCAATACAAACCCTTATGTGTCGACTCATACTGAGTTATTTTTTATTTCCAGGAGCAAGGATTGATATGTATCAATACATAAGGTTTTCGTATCAATACATAAGCGCATGCGTCAATACATAAAATTTATGTATCAATGCATAAGCTCATGTGTCAATACATAAAAGTTTTTTTTTTAACAATTTTTTTTTACATTATCTTTATATATCTTTATATTTTTATTGTTATTCATTATTCAATATGGTTGTAATAGTAATTAGGTTTTAATTTCTTTCATCCCTCATTTGTAAATTTGTACACCCTATTTCCGAAGCTTTGTAATAGCGTAGGACTTTATATTTCTGCAATTTACCGCTTTCAATGTAATTGCTAGTAATTAAGGTTTGTATGGCAAGACTTAAAATCAACCACTAGATAACCCTAATTCAAGACAAAAATGCATGAAATCAATACACTCACACACACGCACCTCTAGGGTAACCCAAATTTGTTGCCTTGGATAAAGACAGTCGTGTCCCTCGAACGTGGGATACTTTAGCAATGACCCTCGAAAACAAGATCTTAGTCCCTCGATGACCCTTCAATGTTGCCTTCATAAAACGATCTTAGTCCCTTACGATAAATTGCTAAGGTATCTTACAATGTTGCATTCTATGACTATACGACGACCCGCGCTTGTCCCTTCACATCCAATGATAGGGCTTCTTATCAATCAATGGTAAGATAACAATATCTAAAGGAGGAGGAAAATAACTAAGACTTTTTGAGTAGGTAGAACGCTCGTAGTTTCTTGCTCACAACCATTTTCTAAACAACATCATTTCAAACACACCAACACTTTCAAATAAAATATTTTTAAAAGTTAACACTTTGTATGCATTCTTATAGAGACGAGAATCATTACAAAGTTCGCCTAAATGAAGGCACTTTTCAAAAATACTTTCAAAACCAATCACAAACACATTTCAAACAAAGCATTTCAAAGTGAGCTAGCAACTAAGAGCCCGTAGATAACTACGAATGAAAAAGGTGCTAATACTTTCCCTTTTCATAACCAACCCCCGAACTCAAGAAAATATCTCAAAAGGTCTTTCCAGTTCTTTTCACCCTTTCCTTTATTCGATAAAAGAAAAGTCGGTGGCGAATCTTGTTATCCGCAACAATTACGATAAAACGCAAAACACGCAAGTCAGTTCTCCCACCGTATTATAAAACTGGAGACTCTGATGGGGATGAAGAGTAGTGGGGTTACCTTAGAGACTATATCACCTTTAAATGCTTTTATTAGTTGACTTGTTTTCTTTATATTTTGGTTCTTGTTTGGGTTTTGTATTGATCCTCTACCCGGATCGGGGAACATTATTAGAAAAGTAGCAATAAATCTTAGAGACTGTGTGGGGTATACCGACATAGTTGAAGCGATGGCTACCTTAGTGTGACACATTTGTTGGTACCAGTAGCCCTTGAATCCAGTCAAGGAGAATATGGTGCCGTTGTGTGGTGTCATCAAGCACTAACTGATCGTAGAACCTTTAATTGAACAACTTGGCCATTAGGAAGTAGTGAGATAGTCGGCTTTGGTGCAGTCCGAAGTTGGTTGATACTCAATGCTACGCTCATTGAGATCAGAATTTTCGGGATATTTCGGTCTCTAATAAAGAGGCTTGTGCTGAACCAATACCAAATGAAGAAAGATCGATGATATTGAGATTCCCTAGAACCCAGTTACTTTTATTACGGCAGGTTGAACCAACTAAACTTCAAGATGGTACTTACCTATAAACCTCATGCAAGCCTAAACCTAAGGGTTTGTTTGCTTTGCTTATATATGTACATAACATCATGACATCATTGTTGCACCCTAAAATTTCCCCTCCTCATTTTACTTTGCCTGGCTTGTGTTTCCTCATGTGCGTTCACTTGATGGCAGTCAGTCCGAGATAGATCTCGTATCCTACTGGTTTGGGCTGCTAAGACCTCTAAGGCTTTGTGACATCTCAAGTTGAATCCTTGCATCGTCAAGAGAATTTAAGTGTGCATTGGTTTAGAAGGGTCAAGTGTTTGGAGTTCAAGATTACTAAAGATTTTATGTTTGAAGCTACGACGCTTTCGTACTCAAACTCCTCCCAAAAAGAATCAGAGTTTTATTTGCAAAGCTAAGGCATTACTGTTTGAAAATGGATTAAATGCAGAGCGCGATACAAGCGATGAAAATTGTTGGATTAATACTGTGATCAAGGCACATATGGTCACGATTCCTACAAAAATACAATTGGACTTCTCTCACCAATCAAAGTTTCTGGATTTTTATCGTGCGAAATACTTTGCGCAGTCAATTCTAGCATTTTTCGCGCGAGTTTCTTTAGATTTCATTTCAAAAAACCTAAAGTTCAAAATCTAAGTGTTCTTATGGAAGATTAGAGTTTTTTATCTGAAGATCAAAATAATTCAAGGCATTTTTAGAATTTGAGAAAGATGAAAATTGAATTTTGTTTCAAGCATCATTCTTAAGGCAACTCTAATGCACCATTCAAGATTTGTCACAATTCTTGCAATTTCATTTTGGGTTATTAAAGATTCAAGAAGTTTTAGGTTTGTGATTAAGATTGGAAATTAGAGTTTCATTTGATTTTGTGCCATATAGTTCTAAAGATCCAATTCCAAATTCAAGGGTTCAAAGCCCAAATCATTTCTTTCATCATCCTTTTCAATTTTCATTTAAATCAAACAACTTCTACAAAGTTTAATTCCATTTCAAATATCACTCAATACATTTTAGAAATTTATTGTTCAAATACATTCCAAATAATTACAAAGTTCAAATTACATTTTTAAGGCCTACTATGTTTTTCCTATCCTATTCTTTCTATTTTCTATTACAAAACAACAAAAGATTCTTCGTGCTCCTAGCCTCCAAGCTTCTTCTCCAAGCAATGCCACGGTTTCCT